ACACACACACACACACACACACACACACCATCTGAACCAGATTACTGAGACAGCCACCAGCAGTTTGAAAAGCTCAGGACCAACATGCTCCTCAGACAAGGTTTAACCCCGGCGTCTCAGCACCAGATGCCTGTGACAGCTCAGGATGAACAAGATCTTGAACGTCAGGGAACTCTGTAACTACTGGAGTCGAAGCTCATGGCTCGACAACCTAGAAAACTTATGGCTGAAGGAACACTTTAACTGATTAACCCTTTATGAATTTTGTCAAAAATCTTCTGAAGGATTCTTTTATTTACATTTTTATTCCAAATTGATGAAAAATGTGAAGAACAAATCCATACTTGAAATCATTCAGTTGAGTATTGACAAAACATTTACTTTGGATAAACACTTGTGGGAAGAGCTGTGGGAGTGGATATGAGACTGAATGGCACTTAGAGTCGTTTCCTGAAGTCTGAAAGAAACATGGACATAAAGATGAACTGAAGTAAGTCCTCCAGCTGAAGATAAATATGCTGCACTGATGCGTAGGTGTTCTGTTGGCAGCTGATTTCCCCCTGCCACTCTTCAGCCTTCGCTCTTGTTACTCTGTGGTCTATTTTCAGCGGGCGTTGGGTTGACGTCTGAATGTTTCTGAACGTGGCTGTGGTGAATGTCGGACCTCTCCTGACTCTGATCTTATCAAAGCATGGTGCTAATTCTAACTTGATTTGTGGAGCTGGAGTCTTCTTGGTAGCTCATAAATCCAGGTTCAACAGTCGGTCAGCTACACAAGCGTCAAACTCTCCTCGGTCCTCTGGAGGAATGCTGTATTTTTAAGCTTCCTCTACCAACAACTGTGAGATCAGAATCTGTGTGCCTCCCTATAGTCCGGGTATGAACAGTTAAGACCGGAACTACAAGACAAAATAGCTTTGCTGTGATTGAATCAACAGCATAAGCCTGAATGTTTGGACTATATTGCATTTCTAGCATAAGCAGGTGTGAGAAAGTGGAAAGAGCTAGAAATTAAACACATGATAGGAGAACTAGCTGTTTTTATACAAGCTAACATGGCTGGAAACTGCAAAGAGTAAATGTTCTAAGCCAAAAGGGCCTAAAAAGATAAATGCCTTAAACTGTCACTAACACCAGAGCTCAAATTTAGTTTTTGGCTTGAAAATTCAGATTTGAGAAAAATTTAACAAAGTCATCTTTTTTGTTTTGATTTCAGGAGGACATCCAGCAGAGGGAGGGTCACATGCGTTGGGGTGATGGGTTCGTCATTGTCTATGACATCACAGACCGGGGAAGCTTTGAGGAGGTTGCCCCACTTCGCAGTCTCCTAGAGGAAGTGAAGAAGCCCAAGAATGTCCCTCTGGTTCTGGTGGGCAACAAGTCAGACCTGGACCATGTCCGGCAGGTTGGCACAGAGGAAGGCGAGCGACTGGCAGCTGAGATGGCATGCGCCTTCTATGAATGCTCAGCGTGTGCCGATGAGGGTGGTGCGGTTGCCGAGGCTTTCCACGAGCTCTGCCGCGAGGTGAGGCGCCGCAAGGCCGTGCAGGGCAAGGCCAGGCGCCGCAGCTCAACTACACACGTCAAACAGGCCATCAACAAGATGCTGACCAAGATCAGCAGCTAGGGAAGAGCCATAAATCTTCTGATCACACAGGAACAAAAATATGTAAATTCTTGTTATGTAAATGTTTTAAACAATTATTGGCTCCAAAATGGACAAAATGTGACTGATTTGATGTGGAATGTGTTATTTGCTTACTCTATGATCACATTCCATCAAATGATCCAAAGTGCAGCGTCTCATCATTGCACTCTCCAAAGGTAAATGTTGTCACTGGGAGCCTTAATAGATTACTCGCCCAAATACTTGAGCTCATTTGGATCAAAATTATACTGGATACAGATGAGATACGAGATGGTTCATGATGAATCACTGATATGATGAAGTTCTCAACTTTCTTTCTTTTATCCTCTCATTTAACTCTTTGAATCAATAAATATACCAGGGGGCAGTGTGAAACTTGTGCATGCAAACTGTCTCTTTTAGCATGCGGCAAATCCAAGCCTTTCCTGGCGAGAAGAGTTGTACTTTCCTCTCTGTATGTGGTCTGTATGGAGATATTTTGATGTGCTTAGGCCCATGTGTTTAACTGTTGCGTCAGCAAAGAAAACTATTAGATTAAAGTAGATCCACTGTCCTTTACCCATGTCAACTCTGAATATTCTGAGCTGTCAACGTCCTGTCCTTCAAGCAAACCTTGTAACAAAGTCTACTCTGTTCTGTCGACTTCAACTGTTCTGCAGTGGACTGTGGCTCCCTGTGTTTGGCCAAGAAGATATTTTTCCTCACGGAACCAAAGCACAGGTTCAAAAACTTGTCAAGGCTCATGGGGGACTTTTTTTTTGCAGTTTTATCAAAACCCACAAAAAGAAGCAGATGCCGTCCATCCTAACACGGCCACATTCCAGAGATGCTCTTCATGGCTCTAATGTTAATACTGTAAACTACAGTATGAATGAGATACTATTGCCTTAAGCACTGCTGTGTCTTAGGTGTGTACAGAACCCAAAGAAATATACAGTAGTTCATACTGTAACTGTTACATATGTAATATCTGTCTCAAGTGTGTGACCTGTCTCTGAAGAAAACAACCAGTTGTTCACTTGCAATTAAAAACCGAGATATATCCCAAATCTGATGAGTCTATATATTTGGTTAACATCTATGTGAATGGGATTTGACTAAAATGGACGCCTTCAACCAGACCGTTTAATAAAAGTTGCTTTAAGATATGCACTGAAGTCAGAAACTATATACATATATATAAATAAGCAAACATCTGAGTCAGTTGCTCCTGATGTTTTCTAGAACTTTTCTTGCTCACATGTGAGAATATAGCAGGGAAATACAGAGTGAGGAGGCATGACGCTGCCATGTCAAACACACAACAAATGTGAAATTGGAAGAATACAAATGTCTCAGGATGAATGCATGATCTATCCAGGCACCACCCCCTGAATGTTATGGAAATGTTCCTCCTCTGCCCGAACAATCTCCTGCTGCTTTCTTCATACATGGAAGCTAAACTTCCAGAAAGTGTCTAAAAACAGCCAGAGAGACAAAGAGTCTTCAGACCAAACTCACGCTAGCTTTTACCCAGCTCCTGAAACTCATTTGCAACCTTTAAACCCAAGGACTTCTTAATTTGTTATAGGTCAAATACATAGAATAATTTAGGATGCATTGTATCTTTAAGACATAGCTCAAAGGATATAAAGAACAAGTCACACACAAGCACATATACAAGTTCAAGTGCTGGGAGAAACTGTGAGATGTGGACCCTAATTACTGATGTTAAATAGGTATCAAATGTACAAAGACACAAAAGATAGAAATTCAAGCACTTTCAATGGCTGATTTTTATGTACAAAACCTTCTTCATGGCCTTGTTTACTTCTTGAATTCATGAACTTTCAAGGACTCACAGAAGTCCTGAACATTAAGCTTATCAGGATTTAAACAGAACACACCCAGCTTCTTATGTACCTCTGCTTCTCTAAACTAGTGCACTGACAGACACGTAAAATCACTCCACATACTCCTGCTCTCAAAACATTCACATTCAAGGTATCATTTTTAGATTTTATTTATTTCTAATTGACCGAAACAACCTGAAATTAAGCATCAGTATCATCTCCTTTTTTTCATTTCGTGGGCTGCAGTTTCAGTCCTGAAACCTCCAGGGAAATATAAAATATCAAAATAAACACCTCTTTTCAATTATTAATTTTTATGCTGTGAAGCCTGAAACTTAAACCTATTAAATTAAAGCTTTTTCCACCTCCTCCCACACATACAGGCCAAGAAAAGCAAAGCTAAGCGTTACCCACTTCTGACAGTGCACAGTATTAAAAGAGAAAACCTCCAACTAAACGCCCAGTCATTTCAAATAGATCGCTGAGTCAGGAAGAGGACACCAAAACAAAGAATAGCTTACTTTAGCTTGGGTGAAGCAGTAGGAGTGGCCCAGCTATCCTGCACTTAATTACTAGAGGCAAAAATCCCATAATAACAGGGGGAAGGAGCCACAGTGCTGTTCCTCAGTCTGACCGGACTGTTAAAGGACAATGTCAGGTTTTCTCATCACTAACCGAATACAGAAAAAAGGTAGTTTATCGCTGTAGTTTTGAATGCACCCCGAGGTTTAACTTTTCACTGTACTGGCCAAAGGATCATTCTACCAGAACTGTTAGTGTTAACGATGCAACAACATGGCTGAAAGCGCACACACAAGCACAATTTGTGGTTACTACAGACAATACTATTACGTTCCTCTACAACTCCATATTTGCCATTATTTAAATGTTAAGTTGCATTAAACTGATTTGGGGTGTATAGGAATAAGCAGGCACAAATTCAAGCACCCACTGCAAAGTTAGAGACATGGATCAAGGTTCTTTACTGCAACAACACTGAGTTCACAGAAAACAATTTAAAAGATAGAGCGGTCGGGATATGTGAACAGTTGCAGTCTGCAAACTGAATGTGTACTTCAGCCTATTCTCACAACACAATAGAGTGTACGACAATGACAGAGTGGAGAGATGCTGTGAGACAAAAATCTGCATGAAGCCTAGTTACTACAGGTCAATCAACAAAATATACAAAGAAATATAGGAATTCAATGGCTCGGGACAAAACTAAAAAGGTACAAGAGAGAGGTAAAAGAGTTTTAGGCAGCTCTTATCAAGTCCAAGTGATCATGTTTCTGAAAAGTTTAGTTTGTCCAAGCATCAGAAGGACTCTGACACCAAGGCTACAAACAAACGTCACTACTGCTCAGGATGCTTTAGCTTTACTTCTGGATACTGTGAGGAAGTGGAGATGAATCCATCTTTGAATACAGTCTATGTGCCCCCCCACTCCCAATTGTAATAATGGAATCAAATATTCACAACAAAAAACAATCTCAATATTATTTATGATGGTGAAAGTCTGAGTGGAGTCAAATCTGACCCTGGATAAGCAGCTGAAGATGAAGTATGAGTGCAGTATTTTTACACTATAGCAGTATGTAGCTGTGTACCCTTACTGTGATGAGTCGTGTGATTACTCACTGTTTGTCCAGGGCACACGCGCTTGCAGGTCGACTCCTCACGGCCCCGCGCCCCGTCCTCTTCCACTGCTACACGATCCACAAACACAGACGACACGGTTTTCTCATCAAACTGCAAATGTCCACGGGTCCAAATGTCCAAATGTGTCTCAATGTCGATGATACCCACATGTTGCACAGGCGGTGTCCTCTCGGCACAGCTGGCGGAAGGTTTGGCTAACAAGCTAGCAACAGCCCGCACCTGTTGACTTCCGAGTGAAACACACGGTGACAACTCGATCTAGACATTAGCAGCTTCACTCTCAAGTACCAAACATTAACTCGACTCACTGTCACTGTAAACCTACGAGTCGTTTATTAGTATTTTCTGTGTTTATACGGAAAACGTTGTGTTTTGGGAAACATGTGTTTACGCTCCACGCGCCGCTCCGCGCGCCGCTCTTAGGCCCGTGCGGGCGGAAAAGAGGCAGGTTTATACTCCTCGTCACTGATTGGCTGCAATAGATGTCGGTACCTGACCAATCAGCGAAGAGCTAACAGAAACATGAGAAGTTCAAGGGCTCCTCGAATCAGAGGACACTTTGGTTGTTTAATTAAACTGGGAGTTTAATCGTTAATGAGCCGGAAACTAATATCGATGTCCCAAAACATTTTATGGAAACAAACTTAAAGGAGGGGATTACATTTAGAGGTTTTATTAGCAGAGAGGAGAAATATTACTACTCCTCTAGTCCTATGGCACAAAAGAACAAACAAACAGACAAGTAAATCAGACTTAATTTTTATATACTTTGCATTAAACAATCTAACATAAAAACAATCGAAGTAAACACACACACACACACACACACACACATACACATCAAAGTGGTCCTTCCAGTCCAAACCAGTGAGGTTACAGTATGAGCCTTGGAGTGGGGGTCCCAGCATCATAACCTCACTGGCTTCCATTGTTCATTCTTGACCTTCAATTATTGATGTTCAAATATCCGGGTGTAGGTCAAGTGTCAGAGTTTATTGTTGACTTTGAAACAGAACATGACAAAACCCTCTCACAATCTGCTGATAGAAAAAAAACCATGTGATATGATCAGACATCAACATGTTTGCAAGGTCAGAGAGGGAACTTTTCATCAATCAGCCGTAAGATTAGAACTGGTAAGGGATTTCAGTGTGTGTCAAGATTATTTTTAGGATGACTCATCAATGCAACAAGTTGTCAGATGCAGATTTTAATCATCATCCGTTTCCTTGAATGTAGCATAAAGTAGCGTGTGTTTATCATTTTGTAGTATTTTGTCAGAGGAAGAATATTCAGCAAACAGATCTGGAAAAGACGTCTGCTGATACAACCAATACGAAAATAAAATCCCCAGAATGGAAAATAACTCCAGAGAGGCTGATATCCCCCATACATCCTGTTTAGATATGCAGTCATGGGGAAAATGAGCTCTGCAGTGATTTCGGTACTCACATTAATAACCATGAGGGAGCGTTATGACTGACAGACGTGATGACTGCAGAGGAAAAACAGAGGCAGTCAATGAGAAAGATTTTGGATGCACAACGTGTTTACTTTTTGGGAACTTTTTTAATGTGTTCTCGAGAACCTCTTAATGAAATGTTTTCCACACTGAGAAAAAAAACAGAAATGGGAGCACTGCGGTTCTGCAGCAGAGGAAATGAACCGCCTGCAGAGAGACAGGTGATGTTTCCTCTGTAAACAGCTGGACTCTCCAAAGCTCTTCTCTCATCCTTCAGCCTAATCTCTTACAAACAACACGTATTTCTTTCTCTGAGTGGCCACACACTGACACACTGTTTAAGCTGAACTAGTTTATTTCTAAAAAACTGAGCAGAGCATCCGACCTAAAGGAGGAAAACACAATCACCTCATTGTTTTTACTTTCTCCTTTCATCATGCTCAAAGCCAACCTTTTCACTTATACATAAGAAAAATCAAGTTCCAACGGGAAGAGTTGTTTCACAATTTCCTGAGCGTATTCATGCCCTCCATCAGATGAACTACCTTTTGCATAAGACACTCGGTAAGGGCAGAAAGAAATCTAATTAAATATGATGGGTGCATTCCTGCAAGGAGGCAGATCAAATCTTTTACATCTTTTCTTACAGATAATTAGCATATGTAGTAAATGAGTATGAATCTAGAGCCAACACAGGGTCAGCAGCAGAACCAAATATTCCAGATACTAATGTATCTCATGCATTCATCTTTGCAGTAGCTATCGGGGGATGAAGCTTCTGGTTCAAGTTATTGCAGATACAAGCAGGTCAGTCTCAACTGTCAATCATGTCCCATCCATTAACATGGATGAGGCAGGATTCATTTTAGCCAGCAGGCAGCAGTCAAGCCACTTTGGCTTCACTTTTGGGCAGCTGTCATGTCGTCCATCTTTATATAGAGTCTGTTTTAACACTGGACAGACTTTCCCACCAAATGACTTGTGTCATAATAAATTTACCATTATGGCTTGAAATACTAAA